TTCAAATTAATAACTAAAACGACTTAATAATTATAAAAGATAGTTGTTAGTTTATTAATTAGTTCGTGCAATTAATTAGATGATGGATTTTTGATAGTTGGTGAATCTTTCGAGGGATTTTTTTAGTGTAAAGTGTGCGCTCCGTTGTAGCATTGTGATTGTCAATCTTTTTGTGTTGGTTTTTAGTGTTGGAATGATAAATGATATTTGACTTTTGTTGATTTTAAGGATAAATTGGTTTATAAGGTAAGATTTGTAATATTTTTTTATTTATATGCATTGTTCTATATTCATTCTACTACCCTTGACCTGTCAAAACCGATTCATCACAACACAAGTATCTAAAGTAAAATTATTCTAGTACATCAAAATGATAAATTAGTTTAATATATGATACACAATTAAATAATATTTATACTGATAAGAGTAATTTAGATTACATTCAATTTAGGATATTACTTAAAAGTTTATAATTAATAAAACGTCAGTGTGAACACAACAATGAAGTTGTCCACATGCCGCCATTTTTTAAATGCAAAATTTGACAAAAAACTGTCAAAGTTATTTTATTATATTTTATTTCTTAATATATTCAAGCAAAATTTGGCAAATTTATACAATATTAAACGGAAATTTAGATTACATTTAATTTAGGTTATTATTTAAAAGTTTATAATTAATAAAACGTCAGTGTGAATACAACAATGAAGTTGTCCACAGGCCACCAGTTTTTAAATGCAAAATTTGACAAAGAACTGTCAAAGTTATTTTTATTATTTTTACTATTTTTTTTACTAATTTTTTTAAACACTTTTATATGTTAAAGCAAAATTTAGCAAATTTATATTATATTAAACAGAAATTTAGTATACTAAAAATGTATACTCGAATTTACACAAATACTGCCATTTTTCAAATGCAAAATTTGACAAAGAACTGTCAAAATTATTTTTATTATTTTTTATTATTTATAAGCACTTTCATATATTGAAGCAAAATTTGGCACATTTATACTACATTAAAAAGAAATTTAGTATACTAAAGAATGTAAACTCGAATTTACACAAATTATAATATAGGATATATACTAATACATAAGGATGTGCACTTTAGTTTGACGTTTTTGTGTACTTATTTGTTATATCTCTTGCTACTTTTGAACAAAACGTTTATTGTTAGTAGAATATTAGGCAAATTTGTAGAAAATTAAATAATCTATAGTATTTTCTAATGCCATCCATAGACCTTGAACAAATCGGTGTACTCTAAAATCGTAAACAGAGTAGTAATTTGAGGGCACTAAAAATGTTCATATATATTGTAATGTTTGTTTAAAACTTTTGTCTAAATTTAGGAAACTTCTACAGAATTAAATATTTTGCACTATTTTTTATATTATAACCCCAGAGCGACACGATATTCTCTAAACCGTAATTGAAATCCAAATACTAATTTGAGCGCTTTAAAAGCGTTTGTATTCCTTGGAACTTTGGATACATTTACCTTATTTTAACAAGTTTATTCAAAATTGAATAATCTACAACATTTTCTTATATTATCAGTCCAAATAGCAACTCGGTATATTTTAAACCGTAATTGAAAATAGAATATTAATTGAAAGGCACCAAAAGTACATATATTTCTTGACATTCTTCTCATCTTCTGTAACATTTGATACATTTGTCTAATTTTAATGAAATATTTCACAAATTTGTACAAAATTGTACAGTTTACAATAGTTTCTTATATTTTAACACTAGAGGAACTAAGTATACTTTGAAATCGAATTGGAAATAAAATATTAATTTAAGGGCATTAAAAGTGCACATACATCTTGTAACTTTTGTAACTTGTGATACATTCATCTAATTTGAATGAGATTTTTAACAAATTTGTACAAAATTAAATAATCTACAAGAGTTTTTCATATTGTAAGGACCTCGATCAACTAGGTACACTTTAAAATCGTAGTTGAAAAAAAATGATAATTTGAGCGCAATAAAAGTGTACATAATTCTTATAAGTTGAAACTTTTGACATTTTTTTCTGATTTGAATGAAATGGTGGATAAATTTATACAAAATTAAATAATCTACAATATATTTTTGTATTATAGAATTCTAAAGCAACTCTGTGTACTTTATAATCGAAATGGTAAATACAATATTAATTTCGGTACTCTAAAAGTGTACATATTTCTTGTAACTCTTGTTACTTCTGATATAATTGTCTAATTTTGTTGAAGGCTTTACAAATTAGTTTTAAATTAAATAATATGCATTCAAAGATTTAGATGAACGTGATGTACTCAATAACATTAAAAATAGAATATAATCTATTAACCATTTCTTTATTATATCTCTTATTACTATCGAACATTTTGCCTAATTTTAATGAATTCTTTTGCTGAAAACTATTTTTTTTTTGAAATTACAAAATTCAATAAAATATAATTCTTTCTCAATTTGAAACCTCCTTCTTATAAGCTCTAGTTACTTCAAAAATATCAATATTAACATTTTTAAATAATATTTTTTTTGATTATTGTAGTCTTTATTTATTGTCAAAATTAAATATGTAGAATATTTGCTAACTTCATAATATCTTTACACTATCTTTATTTTTTTTTTTAAAAAAGTTTTTCACATCCTTCTCAATGCAAGATATTGTATGCAATATTTTTGTATATTTAGCCACTTCTAAACGGTTCATTTACTATGAAAAAAATTGAAAAATTTAATTAAGATTTTTTAGGAAAATTTGTACAATTTTTAATTGGAATAATGCCAACCAAAATTAGGTATTCTTCAAAATTGCATTTGAAATGAGGAAATTGTTCTGAGCATCGAACGTAATGAATGATTTGTATGCAATAATATCTGTCTTTTATAAAAATGCGCCCTAAAATTTGCTTTTATATTATATTATCATATATTGAACAATTCGATTAATATGAATTACTAAAACCTAAACAAGCCTTTAGAGCAACTCTATATACTTTAAAATCGATATTCAATATTAAAATGTAATAAATGTTGCATTCCAATGAAATGGATAACTTTGAATGAAAAAAAAACTGTGTGGGTAGTTACATTTTATTAGTTATTATTAATATATTATATATATATGTAGTGTATATTTATATATATTTATATACATATATATACCTATATTATATATAAATTGTAATATTCGTTATTACGACTTCTTCGATATCGAAGTGCAGAGTGAAAATTCAATAAGTCTATGAATAACATTATAAAGAAGGAATAGAAATTTTCAATTCGAATCATATTATGAGATAGAGAAGATATCGAGAATATTATATATATATATATATATATATATATATATATATATATATTAAAATCTCTGAAAATATATTTGAATCGTTCGAATTTAAATTACATCTTCTGAAGACAATTCTACTAAATTTCAAAGTATACTAAGTTTCTGCAGAGCATGTGAAATTTAATTTTGTAAAACTTTGCTTTAATATTCAATACGAACTGTTTACACCTTACAAAAAATTTTGTATTTATATAATATGTAAAACTATCACTAGATGAATTCATCCTCGAATATACTTGATGAATCCAAATTCAAATTTTAATTCAGTCAAAAGTATTTAAAAAATCTTCGGGAAGTTAATATGACATATATGATTATAATAACTGATTACCATTTGAGATTGCAATAATTGGCTTTGCTGTTGCATCATAGTTATGACTAACACAATCATAAAATCGTGTTTGTTTTTTGATAATTAATTTATAACTAAAATAATGAGTTTGTTTGGCAAATTTGTACAAAATTGAATAAACTGCAGCAACTCGGTATACATATAAATCACATCTAATTCAACATATTGATTTCTTATTTATCGAGTCTCCTTAAAAGAAAATACCACTTCTCCAGCTTTCTTTTATAATTACAAAAAAAAATATATATATTTTAAGCGTATTTATAACTAAGAAATTATTAAAATAAAAATTACAACACTCGTTGTGTCTATTAATAAATTTATTTCTTAGAGACGCAAAAAACTGTGTTAGCTAACACATATTATTTCTTTGTTTATACAAAACATTTAGAGACGATATATGTATGCTCCCTGCTCGGCCTGCCATATCTTTTCATATTAATTTTTATGCCTCGAATAAAAATCTATTTCTGAGCGAAAAATATAAAATTATAACACAAACATTTGTCGATTTTTTTTCGGGAATTTTCTGATGTTTAAAATAATATAAATATAGATATTTATATGTAATGTTTACGTTATCGTCTGGTTCGATGGAAATGTATTTTGTGATGAAAGATTAAAAGGGATTTTTTAAAAAATATTTAAGCACTCTCTAAAATATATGGTATAGGAAATGCATTAATTTTCCTAAGAAAAAAGTTTTTTTCAAAAAATTGACTCACTAACTTTATGTTTTCCAGACCAAAATTGGAAATAGTGTGTGTGTGTGTGTTTGTGAGCTGATTTTTGACCTTATATTTCTCAAAAGTCTTTTTTTTTCAAATACAATCATTGTAATCATTATTTTTGTATCATCAAGCTACAGTTTAAATCTAACTGTAGTTAGTTTAAATCTACAAATTCTGCTGTTAAAATTATTCAGAAGGTTTAGAGCTAGGAGTTCCGCAAGGTAGCATTATAGGGCATACCTAATTTTTAAATATTAATGAATAAATGAGTTAAAATGACTTTTAATATATCTTTCATCTCGTTTGGTTATATTTGTACACTTTAGTAATAACATAGTGTTTATAATAAAATTTTCTTGACGTGAATGATTAAAAAATAGGATTTTTAAAAAAATATTTAAGCGTCAATTTTTCTCAAATAGAATCGTCGACTATTTCTTTCTGTTACAATATGAATATTTTTTCTAACTTCAAGCTTCAATTTAGTTAGAATAGTTTAAATCTAACTGTAGTTAAATAATTTTGAAATTTATACTCCTACAAAATTATTCAGAAGATTTAGAGCTAGGTGTTTCTCAAGGTAGCATTATAAGCCACTATAACTTTGAAATATTAATAAATGAATGAGTAAAAATGACTTTTACACGTTAGTAAAAACATAGGCTTTAGACAACAAAAAATTGGCTTCAAAATATATTTTAGCTTTATTTTTTTTTCAAATAGAATCGTTAACAATTAGGTTTTGTTACAAGGATATTATTTTCTCTATCTTCAAGCTACAGTTTAGTTCTTCAAATATATACTCTTTTAAA